CTTGAGCTTGGGGGAATTTTGGATTATGCAATGATGAGCTCTTTAAAATCATTGTTGCTGCAGGCATGTGCTTTAGTATTTAGGTAAGCATTTTTTGTGTCAGTCCACAACAGACTTGTGAGTTGAGTGATAGTATTAAGCAGAGTAAGAATTAGGTTTTTACATGAACTTCCAAGAGTCGTCGAAAACAACTGAATGAGTAGACAATTGTAAAACTTGTAATGTATATACAAAATTGGCGTTCCTAAGATGCCAACAAACCCTATTGCTGCCTTTTACCCATGAAGTAGCATTTCTTGTACCTAGAGATAGCTGTGCAATCCAGTATTAACTTTCCAAGAATCGGCATCCAACTTCACAACCTTCATAATGGCCAAGAATTCAGCTTGATCAGATCAGAATCCTAGTCTCGATGACACATACTGGCAGGATCTAGGATGTTACTTCCAAGAGTTTAAGAATATTGGATTGCAGGTGGTTTCAATTGGGTAGGGACGGCATATGGAAGCTGTGATTTTTTATGCTGTCCAAGACCAAAGCATAGAAAACATTAATGATAAGTTTTCTTCCTGGAAAAATACGATTCCTGCATTCATGACAAAAAAAAAAGTTAAATTAGCTAGCAAACCTAAACTTAAACTCAGGAAATAGTAATATTTTTTGTTTCCTTTTTTCCCTCTAAAATTTTCTTTTTTAGCATGAGCTTTTGTTTTCTTTTTTCCCTGTAAAATTCCCAAATGACGAAATTCATGAGAATAAAGTATTTTTCTAGTTGATACCTACATTTCTAGTTAGAGATGGATTCAAAAGAGCAAGATCTTAGGGCTGCATGAGAAGGACAGTTGTAGGAGAAAGCCTCTAGCGGCAAAGTCTTCATATATGCACAATCACTCTGTCCAATGTGGCTTTTGTCAACCCCAAAGTCATCAAATATCTTTTCACCTACAAAATCTTCTAAACATAAATTCTGAGCTAATACTCAAAATAGGCTAAATATCAGAAGGCTTGACAACCTTCCTGGTTTACAGCATCAAGCTGACTACTAGAGAAAAAACTACCTATAAAATGACCAGTGATTGAAACATAGCATATCTTCTATAACTTCATCTTTTAATGATGGATTAGTGGCTATATCAGAACACTTAGCGCATCAATGTGAATATTGGCTATTTAGTTATGACGCTTTATTTCTATTAGATAGAGAATAAGTTACTGAAAGGATTCACTGGAATTCTAGCGAAGTGAGTATATATAAGTTACTGAATGTATTGCCCTCATGTTTTTGTTTAGTCAAGGTCTATTCTACATGCAAATCAATCAAATAGCAATAGAGTTACAACAAACCATTTGTTTTTGTCTGTGGAAGTGCTGAAGCAAAGAAACAAAGGATGATATGGGATTAAAGTTGAAGAAAATAATAAAGGAAATATTTCAATCTTTCTCGCCATAGTCAAATCTATAGTTGTTAGGGACAATAAAATATTATCGAAGTTATTCAAGCTTGATACCTGGAACTTGAAGCTTTGTTCTTTTCTTTTCGTTGTTTTTTTCTCTGTAGTGATGTAGCAGTTAATACAGGAATAAGGCATCTTAGCTTTAGCTTGGTCTGTGAAGATTTTTCTGTGTTAGGAGATGTAACTTCTAGTTTTGGCAGTTAAAGTGGTAGGCGTAGTCATTGTTGTACATGCCATGGCTTATATCAAATTCCTTCACTGCAAATAGTTGAGGTGAATAATTGATATTGTTGATGTAATTCCTGGTCTGATAGTCTAAAGTTTTACTGGAGGGTGAGAAGGAGAGTTTGTGTGACCTGTCACAAAGTAGAAAGTCAGTGTGCCAAAAATGTTATTTTGAGGCATTCCCCGACACTCAAGTTAGTAAGGTATACCAGAAGCAAGTAAATGAGAGAGAGTAGGAAGCAGTTAAAGAGAGCAAAGAGAATTCAGTAGTGAATCACCTGTCTTATCTGGTTCTACTTTTTATACCTCTTAGATGACGATGTGGCAAACTGGGCTTTCATGTGTAAGACCTACTTTGTGGCTGCTGACATGATCACTTAGGTATAACAATAATGAAGAGTTTAAAAAAAATAAGATTTTTGTTAAGAATTTCTTTGGATAAATGATTTTTATTAATCCAAAGAAAGCAGTAGACCTGCTACAAGTAAACAGTAAGCTATCAAAACATTACAAATGTCCAAGAACAATCTAACTTTTGCAAAGCAATCAAACTAAGCAACATTAAGGAACCAGTCCCCAATTCAGACACATTTTTCTTTTGCTAAGCCAGAAATTATTAATAAAAACAGAGTTACTCAATAGGGTGAACAACAGGGGAACCCCATAACTCAGCAGTAAAACACCACCCCATAGACAAAACAGATGACAAGCACACTACAACCAGACATACCGCCAATCATCTTTGGCGAGCAGAAGAGAAAGAACTGAGACACAGGTACCGTAACACCAAGCCAAAAACATTCAGACACAATTTCTGTTGTTGAAGAGGAAGAGTGGAACTGGAGACTGCAATCTTGTTATTGAACTAAGCCAAAAGGAACTTCTGATAGTTGAAACAATAGCTTCTATATCTTTAGATGGCCTGCCAAACTTCCTTTGATTGTGCTCCTGCCAAATAGAATATATATGAGCATCCCAAGCCAATCTAATTAAGGACAATAGATGCCAAAGCTTTGCTTTGCTCTTAAGATGGCTGACAGCCCAATCTAACTCAAAATACCAGTCACCCACATGTCTTTTACAAATTACTAACTTGGAAACTTATGATTGTCATTTATAAAATGAGGTTAGGAATTCAAAGGACATATCCTAGTTTGCAGGCAATTTTTGCTTTTAGTTTTAAAAGCAATGCCGAGTTTAAAAAGGGAATGAGATGTCCAAAGTTGAAACCTTCTTTAATTAAATTTCAAATGTAATCACTTTAGTCAAATTTCAGTTACTGCAGATATATTTATCACACTTATAATGCAAGAGAATATTTAAATAATTTTATTTGTTTAGGCAATTAAATACAGCTCAAAGAATCAAGAAGAAAACTTTTGAGTTATTAAGTATTCTAGAATGCTTACCAAATGAATTTGAAGCTTGAATTTCGACGGAGTCACCTAGAAGATCTTCTCCATTTTTGATTCCGATTCCATGTAAATCTATCCATCCATTTGTTTCCCATCTCATTCAGCACTGTATATCCAATAGATAACCCAATCATCAAGTCACATCCATACCCAATCAGTACGATTTTCCAAACAGATATACCATCTACCCATGAATCTTCATCTTCCTTAGAGGGTGGCACTCCAAGACCAACTTCTTTGCATTTCTTTGTCAAAGGCGGCCCACACAATCTTGGGTTTCCCTTTGTAAGAATCGTTTGAAAATGTATTGAATTGGTAGATTTGTGGTATGCTTCCCTCAAGTTGGTTGTAAGAGAGATTCAATACTGCAAGAAAAGTTAGGCTTGTAAGCTGTAGAGGAATCTTTCCGGAGAGTTTGTTCTGGGAGAGGTCCAACGACTCAAGTTGAGTTAAGTTTCTAAGTGCTAAAGGAATTGGGCCAAGGAAGCTGTTGTAGGACAAGTTTAGCACTTTGAGTGATTTGAGGTTTTGTATTTCTTCCGGTATTTTCCCATGGAAACTATTATTGGAAAGGTCAAGACAAACAAAGATGGTTAAAATTTTCTGGTAAAAAAGTTCAAACCCCTTATTCACAATTGTCACAGAGTCCTGGTAGTAATCATCTCCAATATAATCTGGTTTAGCTTTGTTGCCATCAATCATCTACTTCATTGCCTTAAAGATTGAAAAAATCCAACAGGTAACTCACCTGAAAAGTTATTGGAAGCAAGATCCAGTATGTGTAACTCTAGGAAAGCATTTTCATCCTCAGAAATTTTAATTGGACCATAAAATCTATTTGCTCTTAGTATAAGAACCTTTAAAGAAGGCAATTTCACCAACCAAAAAGGAAATGTCTTGTGTCATATTTTTTCCAACGTCCAAAACTTCAAGCATTTTGCAATGGGCTAATGACCTCGGCAACTTTCCTTCCAGTTTATTCCCACCAATTTTGAATGACCTTAGTCGAGGGGCTTGAAAGAATTCTATCAGCAATTGACCAGAAAAATTATTGAACGCAATGTCTAGTACATCCAAATGCTGAAAATAATTTTTCACATGTTTAATTAGACCATAAAACCTATTTGCTCGCACTACAAGGACCATCAACTCATGCAATTTTCCCAACCACAAAGGGAATGTGTCATGCAGAGTATTATTTCCAAGGTTTAAAACTCGGAGCATTGTGCAAATTGGCTAATGACCTTGGCAACTTCCCTTCCAATTTATTATCATTGAGTTGAAGCCAATATAATTGGGTCGCTTTTGCAAAATCTGGTATGCTACCGTTGAAATTATTTTTTTGTAGATCCAAATACCTGAGAAAACTGATATTGCCCAAGCAACTAGGGATTAGCCCGCTTAATTTGTTAAGGATGCATTAAAGGTCTCAAGTTGACTCAAATTGCAAATAGGTCTTGATAAAGAGCCTTGTGAAGAAGTTAGAGATTGGTTGAGAGAAAATTGGTCCAAAGATGAGAGAGAATTGTTAGAAAGATCCAGATACCGCAAACTTTTCTTCCACACCCAGTTTGGTACTGCACACTTACTTTGTTATTTGAAAGGTCAAACTCTTCTAAACTAGTTTGACTCTTTAAAAACTCTGGAAACATACTTAGGTTACAGAATTGTAAATACAAGATAATCAACATTGGAAAACAGGAGTTTGCATCACCAAAAGGAACCTCTTTTGAAAAATCAATCGCATTGAAAGAAAGGTCTAACCTCAAAAGAGTGGTCTTCCACAACCAATTCGGCACAAAACCATGGATTTGGTTGTTAGAAAGATCTAGAGAAGCCAACTTGTCTTGTGTTTTGATGAATTCTGGAAATTCAGTAAAGTTGCATGAACTTAGGTATAGCTTCTCTAATTGGGGAAAAGCAGGCTTGTGATGTTGCTTTCAATTGATAAGCTCATATTAGAAAGGTCAAGAACCCTTAAGTTCTTAATTTGGGAGAACATGTCAAGCTTAATGGAACTAAAGCTATTGTAGCCTAAATACAATGTTTCAATCAATGAAGAAGATGCATTGAGGCACTCATCAATTTCACCAAACAATTCATTTTCACTGAGATCCAAGGCCTGCAATGATGGGAGAGCAAATAAAGAAGAATGTATTGATCCAGAGAGGTGGTTGCTCCACAAAAAAAGATATGCAAGATTTGGAACTCCAGATCTATGAAACGCGGGGATAAAACCACTGAAATTGTTATAGGATAGACCCAGTTCCACAAGGTTAGTAAGATTTGCAATTGATGATGGAATTTGTCCAAAGAACTTACAACCATGGAGATCTAAAGTTGTCAAGAACTTGAGATTACCAATTGATTCTGGCAGTTTTCCACTGAAATTTGTAAAAGAAATCTTTAAGACACGTAAAGTATTGTTTAATGAAAATTCTGGCAACTGACCTTCAAGATTGTCATTTTCTGAAATGTCGATGCTTTGTATTTGCAATAAGAAAACTTCTATTGGAAAATGCCCACTCAAATTGCAATTCACTAAACTGAGGGAAACCAAACGAGAGGAATTTTCTAAGAAATTGGGAGGCAACTAAGAGATTGAATTCCCACCAAGGAAAAGTTTGGAAAGAAAAGAAAGTCTTGAGAGTGAAGAACAAAATGGACCTGTCAAACCACAATTCGACAAACTTAACACATGCAAGTTAGGAAGTACTACAGAGGTGGTTTCACACCATTTAGTACTTTGAGTTGAAATGTTCACACTATCCAAGTAGAGCTCCGTAAGAGATCTTAAATTTTGGATTAATGTCTTAAAGTTTGGGTTTTCTAGTTTAAGAGGTTGTTGAAGGTCAAAAGGCAGCGGATAGTAGTAGAAGACGTAGTTGTATGGATGGAGCATTTGGTTATACCGTTGATAGCAAGAATCTTGATTAGATAGATCAAGAGAGACTAACCTTGTTAAGTATGAAATCCCCACTGGAATTTGGCCAAGGAAACATGAGTTTGAAAGGTTGAGATGAGTTAAATTTGAGAATCTATCAAACTCATATTGAAACAGAGTAGTATTAAAATTATTTCCAGCAAGATTAAGGCGTTGAAGATGATGGAGATTGAAAATGGAGTGAAAGCTGCCCGAAAGGTTTTTGTAACTGAGATCAAGCTCAATCACATGACCCACAGCATCACATGTAATTCCTTTCAAAGAGCAACAATCAGTGTTGGGATCCCAAAACTCAACTTTGGAAGAGAAAGTAAAATTTGGGGCATAGTACAGATCACGGTGCAATTGCAATAGAGCAGATTTCTGATCATCAAGGCACTGGTTTTGGAGATCAGTATGAGTAGGGGAAAACGATAACACAAGAGATACAGAGCATGAGAAGAGAAACAAGGTAGGGAAAATGAGTGACATTAGGACATGAAAATTCTTCATGTTTTGTTGGCTTTCTATAAAAAAAAAAAAAATGAAGGGAAGATTGTGGAGTTTGAGATTTGCATACACGATATTATAGACAAGTACTTCATATTTCATACTGTTATTGTAGCTATATATCTCCCTTGATCTCAAGAGATAGGTTCAAATGTGTTTTTCCAACCACGTGTTTGTACAAATCATGAGTTTGAACCTTTTTTGTATGAGTTGAATCAAACTAGATGGAAGACAAACATGGTTATTACTTGTCAATTTTGAATTTTAAAGAATGAATAATGGGTTTCAATGATGATAAGGCTAATAGTTTTGCTTTTGTAAATTAATCTTTATCACTATATTCTTTCTTTTATTCCCCTTTTTTATTTCATATTTTGTATTTGTAAAAAAAAATAAAAAATTAATTTTCTCAAAGTTAGATAATGGTGGCACGTGTATATAGTAGGGAGGAATCCTCTCCATTCAATTAGATTTGATTGATTGGTTCTCTCTTGATATTCCGTTTAGGAATGATGATGGACAGTAAATAATTGAATATTTGATAAATTATCTGATCTGTTTATGTCTAATTCAAATATTTATAAATAGATATTGAATAGATTGAGATAGAATTTAGATAGTACCATTTGGATATTCAAACTCGTTTAAGTTTTAAACCATATGGTATCAATTATTTGAATATATTATCTATTTACATATGTAAAATATGCAAAATTTTATTTTCGAATCTTAACAAACAACCTTTACTTATTATTAATCAAGAGTAAATTTTAAATTTAAATTTAATTCTTGTTGAATTTATATTTTAGTAAAAAATTAAATTTAAGTAATTGGATATTTTAATGGATTCAAATATGAAACAGATGATGTTTATTTAAATGGTTTCATATTCAGATAATGATATTAAATTTAATCGAATATTTAAATGAATTTGAAGACCATGAAAATTAAATAGATTTAACTACAAATATCTAAACAATAACGGATATTCACTGTGTTGTCATTTTTACTTCTCCATTCTTACACGTAAATAAAACAAATTCGTTAAAGAGTTTTTCACTCTCTAAAATTAGTTAATCTATTATTTATTGTAATAATTTTATATTAAATGCAATAGGTGATGCTTAATAATTTTCATTTTTATTATTTTTAATGTATTGGATGAAGATATTATTTTATGTAATAACCTTAGAGTAAGCTTTTAGAGCATTGTTTGTGAAATCATTTTATTAATCTTTGAGAATTCAAAACAACGTATTAATAATTTAATATTGAATTTATCATATATATATATATAGTCCTTTTTATTATTTTTGTTTTTAATATTGTTAAAGAATATTGATTTGTGCAGTAAGAACTTAGAATGTATAGATTCATATTTTTATATTTTACAATACTTCAAATAAAAATATTAACCAATATTATTTTTAATGATAATGAACCTTAATTTTAATGAATAAGTGAACGTTATAAACGTGAACATTACAAATATAAAAGGGACAACATGATTGTGTTTCCATAGAACAAAAATTAATGGGATTTTCTATTAATGAATTAGTCTTCAATTCATCATGCATGGGCTTTTCTTTGCCGGTTAAGTCAGAAAAAGGACCTCAATGGGTGAATCTTTGTTTCAATCCCATTGTCAAGCTACACAAGAAATTAATAGTAACTTTTCTTTTTTTTTTTAATTGTTTAAAAAGAAATTTAATTTAAATTATTCAAAATTAAATAATAAGTGTTCAACTTCAATATCTAATCAGACTATATATTACCATTTTTACGTAATTATACTTATCTTTCCAAATGTCTTCAGTCATCACTTCTAAGTTTTTTTATTTTTTGTTATTTGTTTCTTATTTTCAATTCATTTTCTAATTAGCAATTAATTTTGTACCTACTATCTCCTTTTATTTTTTTATCTATCATTCCCTATTTGGATATTTTAAAATTATAATCTTCGTTTTTTTCAACACAAAATGCTATTACTTTTCTGTACAAGTGTATTCCAAAATCATTTTTATTTTTTAAATTACATTTTAATATTTAAAACCTCAAAATATAAATTTTATATAATAAATTTAAGTTTTTAATATAAAATACACTAATAATTAATAGAAATCTGAAACCCTAATGAAATTAAAAAAATAAATAGAATTTTAGAAATTTTATCCATGGTATCAAATACACTCTTACTTTATATTGTTTTAAACTCAATAAATTTTTTAACAAAAAAAAAAAGGAAATTAACCAATGAAATTACATAATTTTCTCACCTTTTAATCCTCCAATTAATGGATGCTTTTGGTTTTTATTTTTTTAATAAATGAACTGAGAACAAAAACAAATAGTAAAAGAAAAAAAATACAAACCAAATGAAATCTAAATTATATTTTTCAGTTTAGGGTTTTTATTTTTTTTAATAAATGAATTGAAAACAAAAAACAAATAGTAAACGAAAAAAATACAAACCAAATGAAATCTAATTATAATTAATCATCTTAAATAATTAGCAACTAATTGCTTGGTGGAATCTTATCTACAAAAATTGAGAAAGTACAGCGAAAAAAGTTAAAACATTGATGGTAGTATTCAATCAAATACTCAAATTTCCAATTATTTGAAAATAATAGGATGAAAGAAAAATTTAGAATTTGAAGATTGTCTTTATTTTTTTTTCAAATTCAATCAAATACTCAAATTTCCAATTATTTGAAAATAATAGGATGAAAGAAAAACTTTAGAATTTGAAGATTGTCTTTATTTTTTTTTCAAAGTCCTTGAATCAATTGAAACGTCAGAAAAAAAAGTTGTGTTCTTTAGATTTTTTCTTCAAAATTTTCAGCAAAAGTAAAACATGCTTTTCAATTTGTTGATTAGGCAACTTGTTTCTCTTGCTTTTGTTTGTAATATACTATTAGATTTAATGGCAATTGTATTTTTTTAATTATATTAATTTTTTACTTTCTAACATATTGGGATATATAACAATCCTCCGACCTCATAAATTTCACATAATTTATAGATATTTATATATATATATATTTGTATATATTATTAATATATATTGTCACATGTTTTATTTTTTATAATTTTTAATATATAATATATGTTGTTTATTACTTGAAAACTTATCTTGATATATTATCACGCACATCTTTCAAAGATGGATTATTGAAAAATTTCTTCCTTAAAGTCTTGTTTTCTTGCCATTTATTTTCATTTGTACGGACACAATGTTTTATCATAATAAACAAAATATTTCTATGTAAAGAAAATTAACCAAAAAAAAAAATCCTACCACTTGACGATGCGCACATTTATTTTGACATTTCCAATGATCCGACGACCTTACCACTTCCAAATTAAATTAAATTTTTACTACCTCATATAACTGGAGCATTTAATAAATGAAGTATGTTCTAATTGTGGAAACCAAGGTAGATATAATGCTTAATTGAACGAGACTTATACATCATTGTTGCTGCAAATATACGCATTAATATTTATGCATGTGAGCATTTTTCTGGGTTATTAATTTTTATGGAGTTTAAGAAAAAAACTTTAACTTTAATATTTTTAATATTAAAATTTAATTTTTTTATAAGATTAAAATTTCATGATTTTTAATGTCAAAAAGTTAAAAAGACACAAAAATAATTTTAAAATATAAAAAAAAAAGAGTTTGAGATATTCCAATAAAAAAAAAGATGACATAATTTTGAGATATCTAAAAAAAAAAAAAAGAGACGGTGGGAATACTACATCTAGACATTACCATCAGAATCATTAATAAGTTCTCTATTGCAAATGATGATAAAACTTTATTATAAATCTAATTATAAATGAAAGGATAAACTTAAAAAGAGTTACATATATGTCGAACTTTGGACAGTTATAAGTCACGATGTAAAAGTTCAAAAAACAAAAAAAGTAGCACAATTGTTAAAGTGAAAATATGCATTGTAATTTGAGAATCTAATATTGAGTATCATATCATATAGTAAATATTATAAATAATTTTTATAATTTTTAAAATTAATTATAAACAATATATAAATCAAATAAATTTTTTTAAAAAATTCTCTACATATTAATGGGATTAAGTGATTAATGGACATAAATAGAAAATATGATTATTTTTCAAACTTTCATCACATTCTATTTTCAAAAGAAAAATTTTATATTTGATACGTTGTTAATTTATAAATAATATATGCTATATGTGAATCACTAAAGAAAATTCTAAATATACTCCCATTTTGTCTCTCCACACCTCTTTTTTTTTTTCAAAATTATTTTAAATGAAATTATTTAAATACTCTTTCTTTTTTCTCTTCACACTCCTTTTACTTTTAAGCTTTTGGATTTACAAAATTTGAAAACTTTTAAAAGTTTTCAAATTTGTAAATCTAGAAGCACTTAAAAGTCTCTAGAATGCATATCCAAAAGCTTTTAAAAGTTTCTAAATTTGCATATCTGGAAGCTTAAAAATTTTGATAAGATATTTTCTCTTAACTATTTTTTTTTCAAAATCTAAATGTAACTTTTTTTATCGGATATTAAAATCTGGTAAGTTATAGAATTTATTAGAAATACATATCTAGAAGGTTTAAAATTAAAACGAGATGGATAAATAAGTAATTTCACTTAAAAAGTTAAAAAAAAAATGGATGTAGAGAAAAAATGACATAGCATTTAAAATCACCCATCACAAAATTATACTTTATGAAAAAATTGATATTCTAATTTTGGACTCACAAAGAAAATGATAGTATGAAATTTTTTTTATTGGTATTTAGTCTTTTCTTTGTTTTATATTTTTAAGTCTTCCCATCTTGCAAATCTCTAAGTCTTTTTGTCCCATCATTACTCTGCAAAAAAAAAATTCTTAACAATTTGCTTAGGTTAAGTCTACTTTTTTTAAAAAGACAAAAAAATAATAATTTTCTTAATGGAGGCTATCTTTTCTTTTCTAGTTA